TGGGTGGCAGTCGTGTGTCATACCGTTTCTTCCGCGGAATACTTCGTCTCGGAAGAACCAAAGCGAGACACCTGGAATGACCAATTCTTTCTCATTCGGGCTCGGCCGCCAAGAAAGTTACGAGCCACCTTCCTGCTGCGGGGACCTGTCTGCTGAGGGGGACTAAGAACTGTTTCCGAACCAGCTGTGGGAGGCGGGCATCACCCAGAACCCAGAGGCTTCCGGAGGCTGCGTTGGGCTCCCCCAGCCAGGCTAACGGGCCTTAAGTTCCTCTCCTCTCGGGGCTTGTAAGTGCATCAGCCCCAAGGGTGAGCCACCCAACTGAGCCAGGGGTCTCAAGATAGAAGGGGTCCTTAAATACCAAAGAAATGGGAAGAGAGGAAGATCTTGCCAAGGATCTTCTTGCTTGTGGTGCCCGGAGGCCGTGCGTTTCCGAGTGTGGTCCCCAGACCAGCAGTGTCAGCATCACTTAGGGACTTGTTAGAAATGCCCGTTCTCAGGCCCCGCCCCGGACCTACCGAACCAGAAACGCAGCAGTCTGGATTGAACAGCCCTCCAGGAGACTGACACGCGCTCAAGTCCGAGAGTCCCCGTGGGGCGTGCAGGGGTCCCCCGGGGGTGGTCGGTCCCTGATGCCTGCCAACGATACGGTCCCACGTGGTGCTGGGTGGGGTGGGCCGACCGGGAGCCCCTCTCCCCCTCACCACCCACAGCCTCCCCAGCAAATGATGCTGAGCAAACAAGAAGCGCCTGTTGGTTTGACGGGGAGCCACACTGTTAGTCTGGCCGGCAATCCTCCACATTTCATCTGTCCACCTGGGTTCTGCACCGAGGGGTTCAGTGGATATAAAGCCTTCACAGTGACACGGAAACCAGTCGCTGGCCAGTCTGCTGTCCCCGAGTGGAGACTTCATCCCCCCACCCTCTCCCTCAGGAAACAAGTCCTCGGTGGCATGACCGCCGTGAGGATCCTAGCAAGTCGGGAGTCGCCCCCAGGGGTCCACCCGCGCACACGGGAGCCAAGGAGGAGTGTTTGCAGAAGCCCCTGGGGGAAGCACATGTCCTGATCTGTGGACATAAGGATTCCCCGAATCTCTCTGCTGAGCTTACATACGTAGCCTGGTGACCGGGCATTTACGCCCCGGCCCCACCCAGTCTCTGGTTCAAGGCCCTGCTCAGCGACATCCTTTGAGTGTGACTTTGGGCCGTCGCTGACTTAAGCCTCCGTGATCTCACCTGTCAAACCAGGGAGGCTGTCTAAATCACAAGGTCAAGGCGAGGATTGAATGAGAGTCATGACCGGAACTGTGAGGATGGCGTCTGGCACCCGGCGTGCCTTCAGTAAACGTTCGCGCTGCTAGACCTCTGCTCTTCAAACCACGGTCACAACGGTTCATGATCTGTGAGACCGGTTTGTCGGTGTGCAGCGGCCTTTTTAAAAAATAAATAAAAATGGGTTACAATTGTGGACTAAGTATTGTTTCGTGAAACTTTGTGGGGGGCGGTGCCGGGTTGCACAGAAAAGTATTGTCCAAGCTGTGGGTTGCAGGAAAAGGACATGAAAGTACAGATGAAGAGAGAGTGTTCTCTGGCCATCTAAGGAGGAGGGACGTGGCGCGGGCAGCAGTGTCTCCAACTTTCTCCGTCTGATGACGTGGGGAGCGGGGCGGGGGGCAGACAATGAGCTCTTGCTCCGTGAGTCTCAGCTGAGTCCTTACAAAGCCTGTGCTCGGGTCTCTGCCTCCTTCGGGAGCCTTAGGCCTGGTCCGTTCATTCTGGGGACTCCGGTGGGTCGTGCAGATTACAGTTCATGTGTCATCCTGCCAGAGGGGGCCCCCGAAGCCCCAAGCCACACCCTCCCTACAAGAGATGTTGGCTGCGGCCGCTGCCCCCTACCCAGGAATCAACCATTCTTGTTCGCTTGGGCCTGAAGTGGGTATTACTGCTGCCTCTGCAAACCTCCAGCTGAAGAACTTTGCCTTCAGCACACCGGTAAATCCACACAAAAGTCAAACTTGAGTCCTACCAGGAGAAAGAAACCCCGTTGGCTCCTCCTGACCCCGCGGGTTCAGACCTTCAGACCTCTCTTAGGCCTCAGATGCATTTGGAATATTTTCTTCTGTCCAGACTCAGAGTTGACCTGGATGTTTGTCCACTTACCTGCTCAGGAACTTCATCTGGTGGACGGGCTGGGCTCCGATCTGGAATGTTCTTACGAGCTTGGTGAAGAGGTTGAGTGTCATCCCAGAGTGCTCGCCACGGAACACAGTCATCCTGTGGGGTCTTTGGCTTCCCTCTCCCACTCTGGCTTTTTCCTCTGCCTTGGTGGTCAGCACAGGTAGAGTGAGAATTTGTAGGAGGATTGAAAACGCCCTGGGCAGAAGGAAGACACTGGTTCTCGCCCCGGTTCCGACGACCAACGGGAGACCCTCTGTTTTCCCCTCTGCCAAGTGTCAGTACCAACACCCACGTCCTGTCAGGGCGGTTGTGAGGATCCCACAGTCATGGCTTTGAGTCAGTGTGGATTCAGTCAATCTGCCGTTTCTGGGTGTCCCCTCTGTCGCCTGCCCTGCCTCCTGATGTCCCAGCTTCCCTGAAATCGTGCTTCAGATGCCTCTCTTGACAGGCTGCAAAGGATTGCCCGGGAAGGGAACACAGCATCCCCCAAAGCAAGACCCCTCAGGTGGCCCCTGCAGCTTCTGCTAAGTAGGGAGGCCTGGCGAGGGGCCAGTCTGAGCAGCACAGCATCCCGGGCTCTTGACCTACGCGAGGCTCCCTCAAAAGAGTTGTCAGCAAGGTCCATTTTCTGGAACAGCTCTTCTGTTCTGATTATGACGGTAACTGCCACTCGTTGGTGAAAGCTTACAACGTGTGGGAAGTCCACAGAAATAGATACGAACCACCTCAGACCCCATCCCCAAAGGAAACTACAGGTCCCATGACATCATGTGCAACTAACCTGGCTTTCTTGCCTTGTCACCAGTGGACAGGATTTTCCAGTGTGACACAGAACTGTATCAACACCATTGTTTCATAGCTGTGTTGTGTTTCACTTTGTAGAATCGCAGACTTAGCCATCTTTCTGGGCGTTTCGATTGTTTCCAGCTTGTCACGTTGTTACTCGGTGTTCAAGACTCTGTTGCTCACATCTTTGTGTCTCTGATTATTTTTTTAACCTTTTATTGTGACGTAATTTCCGACTTACAAAAAGGTGGCAAAAACAGCACAGAGAGCTCCTGTACATCCTTCCCTCAGTCTTTCCAAAGGGAGTCATTTTATATAACCACAATACAAATACAAAAACCGGGAACAGTATTGATTGTGACCCTTAACAGATCTCCATGCTTCATTCGGATTTCTCCAGGTGCCCCCACTGAGACCCTTGTCTGTCCCATTGCATCGCTTGTCATGTCTGTGTAGTCTGCTCCAATCCATGACGCTCCTGTCTTTCTTTCATGAACTTGACCCCCCTTTTTTATTTATTTTTTTTACTTTTTTTTTTTTTTAAGATTTTATTTATTTATTTGACACAGATTGAGAGAGACAGTGAGAGAGGGAACACAAGCAGGGGGAGTGGGAGAGGGAGAAACAGGTTTCCCGTGGAGCTGGGAGCCCGATGCGGGGCTCGATCCCAGGAGCCTGGGATCATGACCTGAGCTGAAGGCAGACGCTTAACCGACTGAGCCACCCAGGTGCCCCGACCCCCCTTTTTTAAAACTGAGATGAAATTCACATAACATAAAACCAACCACTTCAGCGTGTGCAGTTCATTGGCATTGAGTATACTCATAATGCCGCACAACCATCACTTCTGTCTGGTTCCGAAGCATTTTCATCAGACTTTGACCCTTTTGAAGATTAGAGGCTAGGTATCCGGTAGGATATCCTTTGATTTGCATCTGTCTAATGTTTTCTCACAATTAGATCACTAGATTATGCGTTTGGGGCAAGAAAGGCACTGAGGCGATGTTACCTTTGATCCGGTTAAGGTGATACCTGCAAAGTTCCCTCACTGGTTTGCCCTTTGTCTTTAGTATCTTCCAAGGAAATACCTTGAGATCAGATTCTTTAAACGACAATTTTTTTTCAAGAGCCGAGAAACTTTAATCTCTGAGATGGAGTGGGAAGAGAGAGTTCTGGAAAAGAACTGGCCCGGAGGACGGGGCAGGTCTCAGTCTGTGTGTGTGCCTCAGTTTCTCTTTCTGCATAACAGAAGGGATCATACCAGTTATGTGAGTCTCTTGTGTGGCAAAGAAGAGAGAACCCAGAACGAGGTCCTCAGAGGTCATTCTGAGGGGGAATGAGTCGTATGAATGAGCAGTGCCCGTGCCTGGCAAACCCCAGCAATTTCCCTTGGCTTCCGGAAGAGGCGGAGAAGGCAGAGGCCCCGGTGGGGCTGAAAGCCTTTGTGGAGGGTGCTGTGGCCTGGAGAGCTGACCTGGCTGTGCCTTTAACTCCTGCGGGCTTCTCCCCTCCCCCCACACCCTCTTTCTGGGGCCTGGCAGCTGAGTCGCAGCCGACCGATGGCCCGCAGCAGGTGAGTGGGCAGCTTGGGAGCAGTCGCTGGGCGCGCCTGCCGCCCGAGCGGGCCTCCCCACAGCGAGCCTGTGCGCCCCCCGGCTGCCCGCCGCACGCTGGTGCTAGCTGTGCAGTCTGCTTCCTGGGCCCCCGTGTTTGTGCCCTGCACTCTCCCCTTACTGCCCGCACCCCTTCTTCATGCTAAGTCGGCTGCACCTGCTGGGGGGGCGTGGCCCAGAATCCCCAGGGAGGACTCAACTTCTTAGTGCTCTCAGGGCCGGTTCCACGTTACTCCTCGGCCCTGGGCGCCTCGGCAGCCTGGCCTGACCTAGCGAGGCTGGGGGGACCCCGACCCCTGCTTGCTGTGCCGCTCCCCCACCGCACCCCGCTTGCATCCCACTGACCTGGCCCCGGGTGGGCTGTGTCCCGGCCGCCCCCCTCACCCCCGCCCCCTGACCCTCTGTATCCCGTTGTCCCTCCAGGGCATCGAGCGCCTCAAACGAAAGCACCAGCCCAGGGAGCGCAGGGGCAGCTGGAAGTCGGTGAAAGAGACCTTTGGTGGGGACTTCTCCCCGAGCTGGCTCAACCCCTTCTCCGGACCGTGCGACCCAAAGCCTCTCCGTGACAGGGACTGGGTGCAGCAGGCGGCCTCGCTGTCCGACACGGACAACACGGAGACCACGGAGGAGCAGTCGGAGGAGAGGAAGGACGAGGACTCCGTGGAGGTGACAGATGAGTGACGCCGCCGTGGGGGGAGAGCCAGGCACTGAAAGGCCACTGGCAACCTGGCTGCAGGCGTCGTGGCCCCGGCGTGGCCGTGACGCACCGCCCTGCACCCCTGCCCCCTGCCGCTCCCCGCGGGCCGCTCACGGCCTCTGCCATCCCCTGTACCCCCTCATCCTCTCCCCAGGTTGGGCCAGGTCTTGGCGGGGGGACTAGAGCGTGACAGGAGGATGAGGGACTCTCAGAGGCCATCCAAGGAGAGTCTGCCCAGAGCGGGATTGGGTGTCCTTCCGAGACGGGGCATCCCTGCACCTGGCACAGCCTCGCCAGCAAAGGAAGCTCTGATCAGGGCAGAAAAGAACTTGCCTTTGGCTTTTCTTGGGATGTCTGTCTTCTCTTGGGAAGGTTGGGCCCTGGCTCCTGGCTTTTGAGAACGACGGCCATGATGTTAGGGTGGAAGGACAGAGCAGGGCTGGCCTTGGGGACCTGGGGTGGGACGCTGACATCAGGACAGACCAGCCCGGAAAGGTTGCAGGGTCCCGGCTGTTCCCCGGCGAGCCCCCCCTCCACCCCCGAGCTTGTCTAAACCAGGAGAAGGACGCGGCTGCCACAGTGACCTGCGTGGCTCGGGCTTGGTGTGAGCGGGACCCCAAACCGGGCTAGACACACACACGTGCGGGCCGTGCCCAGGTCGGAAACACGGGTCAGGACAGTAACCGTGTCACAACAGAGGTGCCAAAACTCAGTCCCCATTCCGTTCCACAGACCCTAGAATCGTCACGGAGGTGGACAGCTTGGGGCCGTCCAGAGGTGGGGAGGGGGAGAGGACCTGTGGAGGTGGGGACTCTCTGGCCTCCCCCTGACAGCTTAATTCACTTGCCCTCTGGACAGAGTCTCACATGGGCATGAACTGCCCAGAAATCTGTCCGGCCTGTGTTTTAAGCCACTTCTCACGAGATGGGGACCATTTTGTCTGAGAGGATGGGTGGTGGCCAGGGCCTGCAGACCGACGAACCAGGAAGACAGACAGACAGACGGACACACACACAACCAGGATGAGCCTGGTCGAGGCCCAGGGTTACCTACTCGGAGGGGTCGGTGTTCCCAGAGCCACCCGTCCTAATCCCAGTGCAGAGCCCTGGGAGGACATCCCACGAGGATGGCAGGGATCTAGAGCCACCAGGCCGCAGGCCTATCCTCCTGGTCCGTATCAGCTTTAGTATTTACTCATGACGATGGCCCGAGCCCTGGTTGGCTCTGAAGGCTGTTCCCTCGCAGTCTGGGCGGGGCGAGGCCACTAGCCACTCTGGGAGAGCCCTTGCCCATCACGGAGGCCTGTTATTTGCGGTCCTAACCGGGAAGGCAGCCCCCGGGCCACCAGCACGGCCGACTGTATACCAAAGAGTCCACACCACAGAGAAAAGCAATGCCCCCCCTGGAGCCCCGGAGGAGGCAGCCGTTAGAAGAAGGGAAGGGGGTCCCCTGGTCACCGCTGGCAACATCAGGCCCGTGGTCACAGGGGTGCTGAGGCTCCGGCAGCCCCCCGAGCCAGCTCTGAGTGCCCGGTGGCTTCGGAGGCCTGTTACCTGCGGTCAGACCCCGTGCGGGGGGTCCGGACGGGGCCACGCAGGTGCTGATCCGTCCAACCCCGAGCTTCCTGTCCTCGCTGTCCTCCTGTCACCACCCACACGGTGGCCTTCCCTCCGCAGCGGCTGTCGAGAGCCTAACACTGTGCTTGCCTCAAACTGACAGGATCGTAGCTGTTGTCAAAACGACCAGGGCCACAGGGAGGGAGGCTGGGCGCAAGCCTCCACCTCGTGCTCTGAATAAAAAGCTCTTTGCTTGACCTCGGTGGCTGGAGTCTCCTCTCTTCAGCAGGAGATCCCAGGCCGGACCCCTGGGTGGCGGTGTCCTGCCTCTGAGTCACCTTGAGGACACCTCTACGAAAGTCTCTTTTCTCCATTCCCCGCGTAGGAGACAAGGGAGCCTCACACACAGGCAGGAGCTGCGGGTGGAGAGTCACTCACCAAACCTCTCTGGGTCATCTCCCTGGGGGGGAGGGGGGGGTGTTTCCAGCAGAAGGAAAACTCACCTTTCACGCAATGCGCATTTATTGAACACCTACTGTATGCCAGGGAGGTGGGCACTGGGAGCAAGAGTGCCCAGCACTGAGGGGTTTTGACTTCAGAAGCCAGGCCACTGCCCCTGAATGTCATGCACATTACACACAAAATAACTCCCATTCAACACAGGCCTCTGCCAGAGAGGATCCGCTGGGGTTACAGCCTTTAAGAAGGCCCCCCCCCACCGGCATCCTGGGTAAGGCCCAATAAAGAAGCCCTACCCCTCGGGCGCCTGGGTGGCTCAGTTGGTTAAGTGACTGCCTTCAGCTCAGGTCATGATCCCAGGGTCCTGGGATCGAGTCCCACATCGGGCTCCTGGCTCAGCGGGAAGCCTGCTTCTCCCTCTCCCTCTGCCACTCCCCCTGCTTGTGTTCCTGCTCTCGCTGTCTCTGTCTCTGTCAAATAAATAAATAAAATCTTTAAAAAAAAAAAAAAAGAAGCCCTACCCCTCAAGAGAGGCTTTGACCTGGGAAGTTCAGAGGATCAGATGGCTCCCCAAGGGCCCACGTGATCCCCAGCACAAGATACCGGAAGAAGCTTGTTCGAAGAAAGAAAAAAAAATGACCCGGGGGACCACACAGTCCTCTCGAAGCAGTTGGAGTTTAATTAAAAGCGTATTGATCATTTGAGCAAGTCTCTGGAGGGCAGAACAAGAAGGAAGAGCTTCAGTTCACAAAGCAGGGCTCTCAGTTGGCACGAGGAAGTGCCTCCTCCCAGGAAGATGACCTCCCCACCCCCCGAACAGACCCCCTGCTCAAGGGAGCGGGAGCTGCTGGCCATGGGGTCTCCCTCCCCTGCACCTGCCCAGGACTGCTGAGCATGAGAAGCCGTCCCTCCAGAGCTGGGCCAGCCTTTACCCTGCGGCAGCCTGTGTTCCTGCCAGAGCCCGTCTCCAGGCCTGGGGGGTCTCGGGGTGGGTTCCTGTACAGCCCCCCGGCCTAGTGCCCGCGGGGGCCACCAGCGCTGGTGAGATGAGGTGGTGGGCAAGGCGGGACGCTTCAAGGGGGTGACCCTTGGGGTGTCTTCATTACTCCAAAGGCCAGGAAGGGGCACCCTTGTTTAAAACGCTCCTTCTCCTGGGCTGGTCCAAGTCAAAATCCCCTTGGCTGACCTGATCCTTCTGTGCCCTGGGGTGGAGGCCCCCAGGGCCCCAAAGGCAGCTTCATTCCTGGGGAGTAGTGGGTGGGGAGGACGGAGGGGTGCTGGGGTACACGGTGCTTGCTTGGCGACAACAGGGCTGGAGTGGAGGAGACGGAAGTGAAGATCCAGCAAATTCACAAACCGGCCGAGGGCCCCATCCCCGGCGGTTCCCCATGAGGCCTTCCTGCACAGGCAGGCACGTGGCCCTTACCAAAATGCAGATGCCCCAAAGGGCCAGGGCGCCAGCCCAGGACTCTGCATTTACACACACCTGCGGCTGATTCGGGTGCAGAGGACCCGGGGCCACTTCAAGCTTCTTCCGGTATCTTGTTTTGAAAAATACTGAAAGTCAGGAACAGTGGGCACCTGCTTACGACTTGGATCAGTCTCTGGAAGGTTGGAGAATCCCCAAAGTGGAGCCTAGGGGCCAGGGAAGGTCTGGAGACTGGGCTTGTGCTAGAAAATTCCTGGGCGAGGGGGGCACAGGGTCCTGCCAGACAGGGTCTCTGGTCTCGCGCATCTCACGCAGCTGGATGTCCATTCGGAGGTTCTTCTCATGTCATGCTCTGAATCATAGACGGTCTCGCTGCATGCTGGGTGCCCCATGCTCTCGGGCACAGGAATGATGCCAGGCGGGGCGAGCAGCGACTGGGGGGCCTCTCCCCGTCCACAGGCATAGGCCATGACCCTCTGGGAGCTCCCTGACCCAATTCCAGGCGAGTGCACCACGCTTGTCCTGCACGTTCGTCTGACACACATGTAGGGGGTGGGCGTCCGTGCCACCCCCAGGGGAACGAGGTGTTGGCAGCCCAGCGCAGCCTGTCCACACCCTCCCCAAAGCCCCCCACCCCCCAGAGCATTGCAGAACACATGGGGGCCACGGCCTGTCTGGACGGGCAGGGTGCCCAGAAGGGCCAGTGCACATACCCACATGTGGCCTGGGACGGATGCCCACCTGTCTGCCTCAGTTTCCTCCTCTGTGAAGTGGGGATCATTACAACACCTACCTCCCTTTGGGGTTGTTTTGCAGATGACATCTTAATGCCTGTTGGGCATCTTCTGTTTTGAAACTGGGAGTGGCCTGCATCTCTCTCAACCTCCGATGAGCCCTGGCTGGACAATCCTTCCACTTTATTGAAACCAGAGAAAGGGCAAAGCCATTAAGTTCCTCTTTCTTTCTTTCTTTCTTTTTTTTTAAGATTTTATTTATTTGTTTGTTTGCTTGTTTATTTTTTTGCGAGAGAGAGAGTGAGAGAGTTCATGAGCTGGGGGAGAGGCAGATGGAGAAGGAGGGGCAGATTCCCCGCTGAGCAGGGAGCCCAATGAGGGGCTCGATCCCTGGGATCATGACCTGAGCCGAAGGCAGATGCTTAACCGACTGAGCCACCCAGGCGCCCCCATTAAGGTCCTCTTTTAAAGCATTACAACAGTGCTTGACGCATAGTAAGTGCTATATAAATCATGTAAAAATAAATGAGCAAAGGGCCCTAATTTAGATTTTTGATGTAATCTCTAAAAAAGGCTATACAGGCAGGTGTGGGATAAAGATGACACTTGTCACATATCTCTGAACCACATGCCGCCCCCTCCTGGCCGGCACACGAACGTTTGCAAACTCCATCAGGCCTGGGGGAAAGCAGGGTCACACTCCCTCCTGTTTCCTGAATATCAAAGCTCTCAGTTCCTTAAATTGGGGTTTTACAATATGCCATGAATTCCGAAGCCTGTTTTGGAGGTTGTTGGGTTTTAATTTACAAGGAGTCTCAAAAGACAGTGTGGCCTGGGCCTCTAGCGACCTCTCAGTTGGTGTGGCTGGACGACACTTGCCACCTCTTCAATCAGAGGGAACAAAGGCTGGGGTGCCTGGGTGGCTCAGTCGGTTAAGCGTCTGCCTTCGGCTCGGGTCATGATCCCAGAGTGCTGGGATCGAGCCCCGCATCGGGCTCCCTGCTCGGCGGGAAGCCTGCTTCTCCATCGCCCTCTGCTCCTCCCCCTCACTCGTGCTCTGTGTCTCTCTCAAATAAATAAATAAAATCTTTAAAAAAAAAAAAAAAGGAGCAAAGACCACCCCTACGCTCTCAAGCGGCCAGAAGGAATGCAAATATCTACAAGAGAGACAGGCGAAGGGTCTGGCTAAAGAGGGACGCACACACCATCTTAACTCTGGGCCCCCCCTCCTCTCTGCTCTGGGCTGCAGGTGTCCTCCTGTCCCGCCTCATGGTCCCAGCCTGTTCGTGCTTGCGCCCTCGGGACCCATGCTGACTATAGAGCAATTCGGGGAAGGGAAGGTAGAGGAATGCTGAGCCCCAGGGATACGCACACTTGCAAAAATCACAATAGGAGATTCTAGTTCCTGTGGAACAAAGCAAATTCCTCTTCAGGTGTGCGGGGCAGCCTCTCGGATGGGCCCCAGTGACACCTACCTCCTGCCTTGTGGAACCCCCTCTCCTAGAGGGCCGGCCAGACCTGGTGACTCGCTTCTAAAAAACAGTGCAGGAAAAGTGCTGCGATCTCACTTCTGAGATTAGGTTACCAGAAGCCTGCGGCCTCCGCCCTGGGTGACGTCACTGCAGTCCCTGCCAGCTCTCGGAGACCCTTTTGGTTTATTTTTTTATTTCTTAAGGTTTTGTTTATTTATTTGAGAGAGAGAGCATGAGTGGGGGTGGGTAGGGTCAGAGGGGCAGAGGGAGAGGGAGAAGCAGACTCCCCACAGAGCGGGGAGCCCTACACGGGGCTCGACCCCAGGACCCTGGGATCATGACCTGAGCAGTAGGCAGAAAGCTTAACTGACTGAGTCACCCAGGGGCCCCTCGGAGGCCCTTTTTAAAATCATTGGTTCGGAGCATCTGGCCGGCTCAGTTGGCAGAGCATGTGACTCTTGATCTCAGGGGTGTGAGTTCGAGCCCACATGGGGTGTAGAGGTTACTTAAAAATAAAATCTTAGGGGGTGCCTGGGTGGCTCAGTCATTAAGCGTCTGCCTTCGGCTCAGGTCATGATCCCAGGGTCCTGGGATTGAGCCCCGCATCGGGCTCCCTGCTCCGCGGAAAGCCTGCTTCTCCCTCTCCCACTCCCCCTGCTTGTGTTCCCTCTCTCGCTGTGTCTCTCTCTGTTAAATAAATAAAATCTTTTTTAAAGAATAATAAAATAAATAAAATCTTAAAAAAGAAAACCATTGATTAGGTTATGTTCTGACCTCCGGGGACTCCCTGTTGCTCCTGGGATCAAATCCAACCCCTTCTGCTGCCTGCATAGGGCCCTCGGGGAGGTGTCTCCAGCCCGCCCACCCTCCCCTCACATCTCCCGGGAATGACCAGGTCTCTGGTCCCCAGAGGACACCACTGGGTGGCCGGCGTTGCCTCCCTGGGGGCCCTTGCGCTCGCTGCGTCCTCGACCAGGGCCGCTGCTCTCGGGTCTGCCTGGGCTGGGGGGTCTCCCAGGGAAGGCCCCCCGCCCCAGCCGATTCAGCCCCACCTGACCTGCTGCTATCTCTCCCGCCAGGGGACCCTTGGGCTTCGGTCTCTTCGGCGCACGAGTCCTTGTCTGACATTACCCTGTACTCATGTCCTGCTCCCTCCACTAGAAGAGGCAGGTGTAGGAGAGCTGGACGGCCTTGGCCTTACGTCTGCGTTCCCAGAGCTGGGGGCTCCGAGGCAGTAGGTAGACAGCAGGTATTTGCTGAGTGAGTGATACAAGGTTACATATTAGGTGCTCAGGAAATATTTATGGGAGGAATGCGCCCATACCCAGGGACACTATACAGCCCCTCAAGTCAGGGGCACTGAGGTCCTGGTCCTCTGGGCTGAGCAGGGGACCCCCAGCACGGCACACAGTAGGTGCTTATTTCATCGTGGCCAAAGGGAACGGAGACTCTCCGGACGGTAGCCTCCACCCGCACATTTGAGGAGACCCTACACCCTCCCTCGGGGAAGGAGCGAAAAGAGCTGTCTGCCAGGCAGGGGCAAAATATATCCTCTTGTAAAGATCTATTTTTAAAACTCAAACACAACATTAAAGCAGCAAGAGCATCCCCATTATCCCGCTGCCTGTCACACGATCGAATAGATTTTTCTGTCTCTTTCCCCGATGGTCCTTGCGCACATGTATTTACCTAACCGTGAGCTGCGGATGAGCCATTTCCTATTATCTTTGCATCGGAAGTGGGGTATTTTTAATCACCCCTCCTGGCTTGCCTCCAGCCAGCTATGGTGTCAGCCTGCCTCAGCCCCGTGATTCATCCCGACGGCTCTCCGCCTGCCCCGCTGTCGCCTCTCCCTGCTCCGGCCCCTCCCAGCCACACCCTGCTCCTGGCTAAGGCCTCCAGGGCGTCTGAGGATGGAGGGCCGCCCCCCATTCCGTCCTCACGTGCTCACATCATTCCCCCATGACAGACGGGGAGACAGGCCCCACGAGCAGGGCTCCGCGGCACCGCGCCCTGGGCGGGGTCAGGCTGTCCCCGAGCACCGGGCCGGACCGGCCGCCGGTGAAACACCGGCCCTTGCCGGACCTCACGTTTGATGGTCTGGAGCGCCAAAGTGAGGTGAGGAATGGCGTGCTCCTTCTTCAGGAAGTCAGTGATGAGAATCTTCGGACTGGCCAGCCGCACAGCTCAGGCGTGGCAGACGGGACTTGGGCTCAGGCCTGATGCGGATTTCGGACACCACTCCGTGCAGCCCCTGAGCTACGAAAATGGGTACGAAGATGCTGGGCTGGACCTTCTGGGTCACTGAACAGGTGCCCGCGGGAGAGAGCCTGTCGCCTGATGGGGCCACTGGAAATCCAGCTGCTGAGAGGCTCTGTAGGCCGACGCTGTGTTCCTGCCGGTTGGGGAGGGCTCATCCCAGGGACCCCGCGTGCCCCTGCCAGCTCAGACGACTCAGGACCCCCGAGGGGTGTCGGGGTACAATCGGCGTTCTAGGGCCTTTGCAGTTTGCAACAACGCCTCTCTGTCCCTCCTCTTCCTCCTTCCTGGTCCGCACACCTTAGGAAGACGGTTTGATTATGACATGCAGCTGTCCCCCCAGAAAGGGCTTGATTTCTTCTAGGCTGCCCAGTGGATAAATGGTCAGGACAAATGGAGTGAGAGATATAAACCACATCGGAAATACGTGAAATTTCAGAATTTCATCCTTCGCAATTCCTTTTTTTTTTTTTTTTTAAAGATCTTATTTATTTGAGAGAGAGAGAGAGAGCATGAGCAGGAGGTAGGGGTAGAAGAAGAAGGAGCAGGCTCCCCGCTGAGCAGGGAGCCCAATGCGGGGCTCGATCCCAGGACCCTGGCATCATGACCTGATCCAAAGGCAGATGCTTCACCGACTGAGCCATCCAGGAGTCCCCTAAGCTTCCTCTTCTATGAATGATCAACTCATGTGCTTTGCCCAATTTTCTTTTAAGGTGTATTGTCTTTTCTTCATGATTTGAAGTTTGAGGAACTTCAAGAAAAGAACTTCTACGAGCCCCTCCAACCACATCCAGCCACCTTACCTGGCGCTCCGCCCACAGACCAAAGTCCTGACCTCTTGGAGAGTGAGATGTCTGCATCCTTTGCTAAAGCCAACCCTCACGTGTGCACCGGCCCCAGCTCAGGGCTCTGAACAGCCCCTTTCCCTGCACCTTCAGTCTCCCCACTAATAGTTCACTGCCATTAGCCTACGTAAATATGCTATTTCTCCTCTCACAACCAGAAATAAAATAAAACCCCCTCTCCTGTCCCCATCTTCTCTGCCACCTACTGCCCCTTTGTAGGAAAACTCGTTGAAAGAGTCTTCACCACTAGCTGTCTCCAATCCCTCTTCCTGCCATTCCCTCTTTTCTCGGTTTGGTTTGGTTTTCAATTGTGGATAAATACAATTTATGTATGGATATATACAATTATGACATAAAATTTACCAGTTTTAGGGGCGCCTGGGTGGCTCAGTTGGTTGGGCGACTGCCTTCAGCTCGGGTCATGATCCTGGAGTCCCGGGATCGAGTCCCGCATCGGGCTCCTGGCTCGGCGGGAAGCCTGCTTCTCCCTCTCCCACTCCCCCTGCTTGTGTTCCCTCTCTCACTGTCTCTCTCTCTCTGTCAAATGAATAAATAAAATCTTAAAAAAAAAAAAATTTACCAGTTTTAAGTGACAATTCAATGGCATTAAATACATTCACAATGTTGTGCAACAATCACTACTTATCCACCTCCAGAACCTTACTGCCCTAAACCGGAACTCTGTCCCCATTAAACACTAACTCCCCCATTCCCCTCCTCCCGGTCCCTGAGCAACCCCCTCCTACTTTCTGTCTCTATGAATTTGCCTCTCCTTGGTATCTCATATAAGTGGGATCATACAATATTTGTCATTTTGTGTCTGCTTATTTAACTAGCAAAACGTTTTCAAGGTTCATCTCTGTAGCCTGTGTGTTAGATCTTCATTCCTTTTTAAGGCTGTATAACCTATTCTATGTATATTACCACGTTCTGTTTATCCAGAATGTCTCCACCTTCTGGTCATTGTAAATAACATTGCTATGAACACCGGTATACAAGCATCTGTTTGACTCTCTGCTTTCAATTCTTTGGGGTATACACCTAGAACTGGAACCGCTGCACTCATAGGATGGTTTAGCTTTTTGTGCATCTGTCAAACTGTTTTCCCCCATGGCTGTGCCATTTTACATTGCCGCCAGCAATGCACAAGGGCTCCAGTTTCTCCACTCTCACCAGTACCTGTCATTTTCTGTGGTTTGGTTTGTGTTGATAGTAGCCGTCCTAATAGGCATGAGGTGCTATCTCATTGTGGTTTAGATTTGCACTTCCCTAATGACCAGCAATGCTGAGCATCTTGCACGTGCTTCTTGGCCATCTGTGTATCTTCTTTGGAGAAATGTCTGTTCATGTCCTTTGCCTGCTTTTAAAAGTTGAATTTTTTGTTGGTGAGGGCGCCTGGGTGGCTCAGATGGTTAAGCGTCTGCCTTCGGCTCAGGTCATGATCTCAGGGTCCTGGGATCGAGTCCTGCATCAGGCTCCCAGCTCCTTGGGAGCCTGCTTCTCCCTCTGCTTCTCTCTCTCTGTCTCTCATCAATAAATAAATAAAATCTTTAAAAAAAAAAAAAAAAGAAGAAGAAGAATTTTTTGTTGGTGAATTGTAGTTCTTTATATATTCTGGATATTAATCCCTTTTCAGATCTATGGTTTGCAAAATATCTTCCATTCTGTAGGTTATGTATTCACTCTCTCGATGGCGTCCTGTGATGCACAAAAGTTCTTAATTTTTTTTTTAAAGATTTTATTTATTTGACAGAGAGAGACACAGCGAGAGAAGGAACACAAGCAGGGGGAGTGGGAGAGGGAGAAGCAGGCTTCCCGCGGAGCAGAGAGCCTGATGAGAGGCTCGATCCCAGGACCCTGGGATCATGACCTGAGCCGAAGGCAGACGCTTAACAACTGAGCCACCCAAATGCCCCAAAAGTTCTTAATTTTGATGAGGCCCAATTTATTTCTCTCTTGCTGCCTGTACTTTAGGTGTCAAAAAATCATTGCCAAATCCAACATCATGAAGCTTTTCCTTGGTTTTCTTCTTAGAGTGTATAGTTTTAGTTCTTACAATTTTAGGTCTTTGATTTGTTTTGAGTTTGTTTTCTGTATGGTGAAAGGTAAGGGTACAACTTCATTCTTTTATCTGCATACAGATATCCAGTTTCTCCAGCACAGGCTGTTGAAAAGATGCCCTTTCCCACTGAATGGTCTCAACACTCTTCTCAAAGGGCTTGGGTTCTCTGTTCTGTACCATCGGTTCATGTCTGTAAGCCAGAACTATACTGTTTTCGTTACGTAGCTTTGCAGTAAGTTTTGGAATCAGGATGCGTAATTCCTCCGACATTGCTCTTTCTCAAGATTGTTTTGCCTATTCAGGGGCCCCTTGAGGGTTCCTATGAATCTTAGAATGGGCTTACCTATTCCTGCAAAAAAACACCAAGCATGGAGGCAGGACTGGACGTACTAGACTCGAGAACTATTGAGAGGCAAGTGTGGGGGGTAACTCAAGCGTGGTGGGTGCGGGGGTATTAAGGAGGCAGTGAGAGAGAAGTTGGAGAGGTGGGTAAGGCCAGATCCCATTCAGTAGGAGCCATGGAACAGTTTTCGGAAGCTCATCCGTCAGCTGTGCAATGAGTAATAGAGGAGGGCAGTGGAGGTGCTACATGGTCAGGGAGGAGGGGCAGCCTGGACACCGCCCTTGTCCCCCCACCTCCCCCCGACTGCCTACTGGCTACCAAGTCCCTCTCTACTGCAGGGAGTGTCTGAAGAAGACATGGAGGCGGCCAGCCTCGGGGAGAGCTGAGAGGGCGCTGGGACGTCCAGGGGAGCCCCCCCCCAGGGACCTGAAGCCCCACACGAGGGAGGGAACGTGCAGGCAGCACACAGACCACTTGGAACATTCACACTGCGTAAGATACAAAAATGTCACAGGGATCCGCGAAAGAAAATCAAAGGGCAGCGAGGCTGACAGGGGAAATGAGGGGGTGAGAGCGGCCTCTGGGCTGGTTTCCTTTCCCACCAAGTAAAACAAAACTAGGTCCCCAAAGTGGTGAGGTCAAGCCTTCCTCCTTGCGTACCAAGAAAATGCACAGACGCTGCTGAAACTGAAGAGCGCTGGCCTGGGTGGAATCAAGGAAGGAACCGCGGGCGCTATGAGCTTGGCAGGCGGGACAGCAGCTGAGCCCCAGGCCCCGGGGGGCGAGGACGGCTCTCAATTCCATTCCAAGGGCTGCGGCTCACCTGGGCTGCCCCCTCTTACTCCAGAAAATTTGGAAAGGGGAAAAAAAAAAGTAGGACAGCATCAGGATTCCACACCTGCTCCTTTTAACTTACAAACCAACAGATCTATTAATCCGGTTTCCCTTCCCTTGCCGAACTGCAGAAGCTTGATGCAGATACGCCGGTACAGCCGCGTGGAGGTGTCGGAAAGCTCCACCAGAACCCACCCCCGTGTCCCGGGACGGGCCTCTGTTCGGCCACAGGACTGCAATCACAGCGCGGTCTCAAGGCCGTTCGCCCAGCAGACTGACCCCAGGGTCTCCAGCATCTGCCAAGGGGCACCGGGCGGGCCCAGGGGCGTGAGAATCGAAAGCACCGCGCAGGCGTCTCGAGAAGGCTTCAGGCTGGACACGAGTGCGCCTGTCCCTCCCCTTCCAGAAGGGGCGGCTGACCAGCCTCAAGGCTGCTGGGTCAGAGGCCCGTCTCCCTCGGCGGCATCTCCCTCCGGCTGATGCTCAGAAGGCCCTGGGAGGTGGTCCCCACACGCCATCCTGCGCCTGGGCTGCCACTCTGTCTCTCCACCTGCCGCTACTTCTGCTTGTATTCGGGGTCCTTCCCGCTGGGCGGCAGCTTCCTGTGGATCAGGCTGAGGCCGCAGAGGATGAGGAACACGCCTCCCCACCACAAAACCTCCTGGCACTCTCCATACAACACAAAGCCCAGGAAGGCCTGCGGGACAGAGACCACGGTGAGGCCACGTCCACACCTGCCCGCAGGACTCGAGCGCGGTGAGGAGGCACCACCTCACTCCCCTGGGGGCTGACGGCCCTCCTGGGGCAGGAGGAAAGGTCTGGAGCTGGAAGTCGGGGGCCTGAAACCCAGCTGTCACCTTCCGCAAGTCACTATTCATGTCTGGCTCACCTGGAGAGGGGAGGAGGGTACCTTCCTCACAGCCCCGGCCCCGAGCGAAGTGCACAAGAAAGCCCAGCAGAGGCCAGCTGCTAAAGCCCAGCACACAGCGGGCGCCTGGTGTTTGCTGATCCAAACCGGCCGGCCAAGTCCTCCCTCCCTCGACGGCAGGACCGACTGTGCTCAGCCCTGCCTGGCTGACATCAGGCTATCAGAGGAAAGAGCAGCCCCCCTCCACGTCTCACGCTCAAGTTCACAGAGCCCTAGGCGTCCAGCTAGCACAGAGGTGGCCGAGACTTCAGAATGAGGGCGGCAGCCTGGAAGGGCAGCATGCAGGTAGGCTTTTTTACAGTTGGACTTCATCCCCAGCTAGCTTGAGAGTTCGGCCAAGTTTGAGATTAGAGGAGCAGCCCCCAGGGGTCAAGCCACAGCCCAATCTCTGCGTCAGCTCCTGTCTGGGAGGGCGAGAGTTCCCCAACTCACCCAGAACCCAGCTTTGGGACAGGGGGACTGTACCCTCAGGCCACTCACCGAGCTGAGGATGTTTGAAAACGTCACTGTGACTGATGCAATGGCTGAAGACATGGAGAAACTGAGGCCCCGGCTAAAGAATGTCCACATCAGAGAATTGGTAGTCGCCATCACAATGACTCCCAAGATGCAGAAGCCCATGTTCACCTGCGGGAGAAAGCGTCACTGCGTCCACGCTCAGCCACGGCGGACCTGCGGCCCCCCTCACAGCACACAGAGGGGCCTGATCACCAGCAGCCAGGCCCCTACTGAGACCCCACCACAGCTCCTCAGAGCTTTCTTGCACAGGACTTCACCTAACCCTGTGCTCAGCACACCCATTTTACAGCTGAAATAAACTGAGACTTATTTGACTGTCTTGCTGGCCATGTGCCCTGGGGCAGAGCAAAATGCTAATCCGTAACCAGTACTTTGTTTAGAACACCAGTCCCTTACTGGTGTCGAGGATCAGTGCCGGAGGGCAAGCAGTTATTAGTCAGTATGTAGTGTGAGCAAATCAGGGTCAGAGTCCTCACTTCCGGGGGATCAGGTAAAGCGTGAATTCGCCAAGCTTCCTCCCACCCCGTGCAGGCTACCGGACACTCAGGCCAGTCCTGCTGGGCATTCTGGAGTTTTTACTCTGTGCCAGGCCCTGTGCCCAGGTGTTTTAAGTGCATTCTCATTTATTCCTTAACTTCACTTTACAGATAAGGAGCCTAAATTAGTAACTTGCTTGAAGTGCCTATAACCTGTGGGAGCCACCAGGATTCAAACCCAGGCAGTGGCTCCATGCTCTTAACCAGGACACAGCCCTGCTCAGGGAACCGCCCCCTCTACTTGACTAGTGATCCCAGGCATCACTTGGAGTACTTGCAGCCTTTTTCTTTTCTTTTTTTTTTTTTTAAGATTTTATTTATTTATTTGAGAGAGAGAGAGAAAGCACGAGGGGAAGCAGCAGAGGGAGAGGGAGAAGCAGACTCCCTGCTGAGCAGGGAGCCCGATGCGGGGCTCGATCCCGGGACTCCGGGATCATGACCTGAGCCGAAGGCAGTCGCTTAACCAACTGAGCCACCCAGGCACCCCTTTTCTTTCTTTCTTTCTTTCTTTTTTTTAAAGGTGAGAGCCTGGAAAGGAAAGGATCTTAAGCCTCCTACTCAACATGCAGACCCCTTGCTTGGTTTTGAGTTAGAAACCTGCTTGCAGACAGAGCTCACTCCTCTGGGGTGACCATCTAAACAGCATACTTTTTTTTTTAAGATTTTGTTTTTAAGTAATCGCTACACCCAATGTGGGGCTCGGACTCACAACCCAGAGACCAAGAGGTGCATGCTCTACTGACTGAGCCAGCCAAGCACTCCTCATACTCTTCTTTCTTTCCAGTGTCATAAGGAAAGGGTGTCTTGGGGCGCCTGAGTGGCTTAGTCTGTTAAGCATCTGCCTTTGGCTCAGGTCGTGATCCTGGGGTCCTGCGATCAGGCCTCACATTGCATGGGGGCTCTCTGCTCAGCAGGGAGCCTGCTTCTCCCTCTCCCTCTGCCTGCTGCCCTGCCTACTTGTGCTCTCTGTCAAATAAATAAATAAAATCTTTTTTTTTTTTTTAAAGGAAAGGGTGTCTTTGCAGAATTTTCACAAAAGCACTGTATGAACCAGTGGCAACCTGCTTATGTAGTTATGAAGGCCTGGTGCACAACTACCCAGACTAGGAAGCCTCATGGTTCAGAGTTACTCATCTTCCTTCGGAGCACTTCAAGAATTACACCCAACAGGGCACTAATCTCAAGCATGGTGGTTCCCACTGGATTAGCCCTAAACAGGTTTACCCGCATGGACCAGTCTGTCCACTGTCCAGGTCAGGAACTAACCCTGGGTGCTGGGGCAGTGAAACCCCTCGGGCAGCAGACACTGGCCTACCACTCGGGATGGGAGGGGCAGGGGTCCACTTCAGCAGACGTGTGGAGGCCGTTTAGGAGTTCTCAGCAAGGGGGTGGGGGCGGGGTGTCCAGCATGCTTCTCTGTCCTTTTTTTTTTTTTTTAAAGATTTTATTTATTTATTTGACAGAGAGAGAGCGAGAGCAGGAACACAAGCAGGGGGAGTGGGAGAGCGAGAAGCAGGCTTCCTGCTGTCCTCTCTTACACCTACGTGTCCCAAACTCCCAATTTTCCTGGCAGCAGGGTATTCGGGTCAAAACACTCGTTAATTACGGAGCAAAGGCTTCTCACCTTAAGAGTCACGTGCAGAGACATGTTCAGGCATAAGGGGCTTAAAATGAAAGGTAGAGAGTGGATGCAGGAAAGCGAACTAGCCCAGTCGGAGGACAGACTGTAGGTCCCTGGTAGGGAAGAGGCTTAGGTCTCTTACCGCCTACACTGGACGAGGATTTGACGGGATTTAGAATGCAGGGATGCTCTCCCGCCCCAGCTGACTGCAGCGCCCGGCCGCGGACCGGGCGAACAGACCGGCGGGCGTGAGGCTTCGCCCTGCGCCCCCAACCCCAACCCTCCCGGAGCCTCGCGGGCCCCGCAGCGCCCCTCCTCCGCCCGGGCCCACCCGCCCGCCGGCCGCAGAGGCGCCCCGGGCTCGACCTCGCTGCCGAAGGCCAGCTTGGCGGAGGCGGCGGCCAGGGCCCCGAACGCGCCGGCGCACAGGCAGTTGAATACACCCCAGAAGCGGCGCCGCATCGCGCCGGCCTGCAGGTGCGGGGGGAATTCCGCGGGGGCGTCGGGGTAGGCGGCCGGGCATACGGCGCCGCCGGGGGACTGCGGCCTCTCGGTCATGGTGCCCGCCGCCACCTCTCCCCGCGCCCGGCGCACCCGCCACCAGCGGGACAGCGCGCGCGCCGCGATTGGGCGGCGGCCCCACGTGACGCGGCGCCCACGTGAGCGGAGAGGCCAATTCGGGCGCGGCGAGGGCCTCCGGGGGGCGGGGCCGGGGGCGGAGCTGCGCCCCGGGGGCCTCCGCGGGGCAGCGGGCCGCCTGCGGCGTTGGGCTTCGGTCTACCCGGGAGCCGTCCGGGGCTGGCGTCGGAAGCCGCGGCCGTGCCGCTGTGGTTGCTGCTGTAGAATAACTATCCGTGACCTGGCCGTTTCAGTCTTTGCCGCTGAGTGCGGCCCAGCATCCGCTTTCCCCAGGAATTTGTTAAAAATGCCGAATCCCGGGCCCGCCCGGCACCCATTGATCAGAATCTGCATTCCAACAAGACCCGCTGGGGATTCACCTGCCCCTTCCAGTTCGGGAGGCGCCAAGTGGAAAGACGCCTCAGCAGAGGGCGCCAGAGACCTCCCCACTCGGCCAGGAGGCGGGCTCCGGTGAGGGCCTCTGACCAATCAAAATGCCCAGATGGATACGCGCTCACTGTAGGATTTAGAAAATATGTCACCTGTAATCACTCTGCTCAGATACCCAGGACTAACATTACTTCCCATTTCCTATGCACTTCAGTGTTTAAAATGTGTGTAAAAAGTAGTACATGTCTTTCCAAGAGAAGTGTTGGGACTACTTCTCTCCAGGAAAATCATTATTAGAGTACTTTCTGTCTAGGCAGAGTTTTATATATAGCACACGTTAAAAAATAGTTTACATAATCTGTATCGGACGTTTTTAGTATGATTTCACACTGAACTGTTGAGCAGCATTTTTTTTTTTCCCGTTCCGGAAGTTTTCGTGGAAGTCCTTCCTTGCCACTCTCTCTCACAGGGTGGTTTTGTGGCTCAAATTAAAGCATGGATAGCCCTGATAACTGCTATTTATAGGTTGAATTGTGTCCCCCCAAAACAGATATGTTTAAGTACTAATCCTCCACACCTGTGAATATGACCTTACTGCAGATGTAACCAAATTAAGAAGTCATTAGCGTGAGCCCTAATCTGACTAGTGTTCTTCCAGGAGACAGAGACACAGGGAGAAGGCCACGTGACAACGGAGGCAGACTGGAGTGATGCATCTACACGCCCAGGACCGCCAAGGACTGCTGTGGGTACCGCAAGCTAAGAGAAAGGCATGGAACAGACGCTCCCTGGAGCCCTCAGAATGCCCTTGCTGACACCTTGAATCTGGACTTCTAGCCTCCAGAAACTGTGAGAGAATTGCTTTTAGCCCCCCAGTTTGTGGTCATTTGTTCTGGCAGCCCCCAGACACTCCCAAAGGTGGGTAAGACCCAACCAAGCCTCTTTAGTACCAGCTTCAGTGTTCCAACCCTTCTCCCACCTCCAGGGCGATCTCAGTTTCTATGTTCTATATGCTGAATTTTATTTTATTTTTTTAAGATCTACACCCAACATGGGGCTTGAACTCACAACCCCGAGACCAAGAGTCCCACACTCCACCATCAAGCCTGCCAGGTGCCTCCTACACTGATTTTTAGTTCCCTTTTTTTGTTTCTGGTTCTTAGGGATTGACTATTACTCTTTGGGAATTCAACTGTGTATTAATTTTTAAAATTGTTTTTCCTCAGCTTTATTGAGGTATAATTTATGACCCATAAAATGAAGCCATTTTGAAGAGAGTTTAATTTTTAGAAGACTTATAGAGCTAACTGTGTGCAATCATCACCACAAACCAACACATTTCCACCACATCAAAAAAGTTCCCATCGTGCCCTTATGGTCACTCGCTCCCATCCCCAGCCACCAGCCACCGAGGATTTGCTTTCTATCTCTATAATTTGCCCTTTCTGGACATTTCACATAAATGGGATCATACAGGTATGTGGTCTTTTGGGCCTGGCTTCTTCCACTTTTTTGTTGTTGTTGTTGAGGTTCATCCATGTTGCCTCTTTTTATTGCTGCGTATAGTGTTCTATTACGTGTAAAAAATGCTCGGTATCATTAGGCCTTAGGAGAATGTCAGTGATGAGCCACAACGCAAGCTCTGGGATGACTACACTAAAACCTCTGGCAGTAACAGGAGCTGAGGAGGATATGGAGAAGCTGAACTCCTTGCTGGTGGGAACATGGAGGGTGAAACCAAACAGTGCATCTGGAAAGGGGAGGCAGATCTTAGAAAGTTAAACACAAGCTTACCAGCAACTCTACTCCTAGGTATCTAGGAGTATCTAGGAGCCACAGGAAACACAGGTCCCCAGCAAGACTGGCACACAAAAATTTACAGCAACATTATTCATAATAGCCCCCAAACTGCCAATAGCTCAAATGTCCATCAAATGGTAAGTAAATCAAATGTGGCATCTCCGCACAATGGAATATGATTTGCAATGAAAAGGAATGAAGTGGTGACACACAGAAGTTCCTCGAGGGCAGGAGATTTTGTTTGCTTTGTTCACGGATGACCAGGGCATATAACAGGTGCTCATTAAGTATATGGTGAATGGACATGTCTTTAATCTGGCTCTGCCAAGTGAACAATGTAAATCACTTGATTAAACTGTTCATTTTTAAAGGATTTTATTACATTTTGAAAAAATGGCCATATTTACAGTCATAAAAAAATGCTCAGAATACTGAAAGTAAGGATACAAAAATAATCTATATTAACGAGTTTGCCTTTCGTACATGCTACTCAGTAGGATTAACGTCATGGCGAGTTTTGAAACCAGTACGTATCGTTAGAGCTGCTGCTGTAAGACTCAGAGGAGATTATGGAAGATAGTATCTAAGGAAAAAATAACCTGGCCAACATCCACTGTAAACCTTAGCTACGGTTTTTTATTTTAAAAAGGCAAAAGGTTTTCCCAGTATTTAGAGTTGAAAGCATTGAAATGGGATGGTAACTTCGAAACAGTACACTGCCAACTGCCACAGGGTGAGTATGGATGCAGAACATTCATCAGAAACTGGAAGGTCAGCCCCCAGTGCCACATACACAGTTAGTAATTACGCTCCTCGATTCAGCTTTGTCAGATGCGCAAGGGTAGGGCTTACTTTTGCAAGAGGAAAGAAATTCTCCAGAAAGGTGATGCCTAGGTAGGTAGTTGACCAAGAGCCTTACGATTCGTTCCTTTTCTTTTCTTTTAAAAATACATTTTCAGCACGCAACTTTTCTGTCTCCTGAGAAGTAAATTTTAAAAAAAGGAAAAGAAAAAAAAATTAAGGCTCAAATGCTTACAGTTTCATCAAGTTTATATTTCAAATTAAGACTACAATTTTCAATTTGTAAATGATTTATAACATTAAACAAGAATCTGATTACGTGAGAGCCTGACAACGGACTAAATTATCCTTTTAATAATAAGGACTGATATATATTTTTTTAGTTCATTAAGTTCCCCAAAGAAGGCATTTGAGTGATTTGATGATTAAATTAAACTTTAAACAATCATTCTAAGACCAGGCTGAGTTTATTTAGAGTACTTTTCAGAGCTTACCTCAGCGAGCCTGACATTCTCCTTCTTCAGCCGCACGACGTACTGAATCTTCTGATGCAGGTTTTGGTGACCGACCAACTTCCCATTTTCCTCAGCAAGACACTCCACCTGCTTCCTTAACATTTCCATCTCCTGCAGGCAAATCAATCCAGGGAGGGGGAAATGAGCTGCTCTTAATTTTGCTTTTACAATCACATTATTTCGTGCCTCCTAAGAGCACGAAGTAGGTCAACTACTTGGCCAACTACCTGGGTGCCAGAGAGCCCAGGTTCCTGGCTTTCATGGCCATTCATCCCTGCGCATGCCAGAGCGACTCTAAACCATGGATACCCCCTCCCAGACATGTCCTAAGCACATGAAAACAACCAATACACAAACGCACCTGGAATATTCTCTCCTTTTCCTCATACAGTTCTTCCAGCTTTGATCTCAGCTGTTCCTTTTCTTGGAACGCTTTAGATTCCAAAGTTCTGGTTCGCTCGACTTCCTCAGCCATTCTAAGGCAGTCCATCTCTTTGTTCTGAAGGGTACTCTGGACTTCTTCTAGGCTGTAACAACAAATAGCGTTTTGTGGGATTCCAAAGGAACATAATTACAACAGTATTCAAATGAAACATTATTCACCCAAGCCCAGAATTTTGATTTGAAAGCATCACAAATATTCAGCCCTCCCCTAGTGACGGCATAGGGAGATTTGGCAAAGGATGCAGATAGGCTTCTTTTGTTATTTTATCCAAGACTTTCATTTTGGAAAACTCCTCAAACCATTTTTTAAATAATAAAAATTTAGAATGGAAACTTCTGGATCTGGCTCCTTTGGAGCAAATGTAACTTAAGTATTATTATAGTCTGCATAGTTTATTCAATGCCCCATATCTTCATTCTTTTGGATTTCAAAAACTGGTTCTCAGACCATAGGACACCAGTCATTTCTTCAAGGATGTGCTATTCAAAATTCATACACTCTACAACTGTCAATTGAAAAGAAAAATGAGGAACAAAGTTATTACGGAATTACATAGAAATGCACTGTTTTAATAAAATTGTGTGAATCCTATAAGCTGTCCAAAAGAAAGAAGTACTTTTTACTGCATTTTTATGCATATGGAATAGAATGATTATTTTTTATGACATCATACTCAAAATTTAATATGCCATTTAAGGCAAGCTTATTTCAGGAGCAGTGTTTTCAGACTACATTCCGTGGAACCTCAGAAGAACAGCATGGGGAGTAGGCACTGATGTTCTCCCTGATTCACTTGGAGCTGTTCTGCATTTGTCTTGTGTACTTTGCTTCAGTTTGATGAAATTTCTGTGGCACTGCTGCTGCTTACCCATAAAAACTCATTTTCTTTGGGGGGGAAAAGGAAAAAAAAGGAGAAGCACACCCAGTTCCCAAGTGTTGGTAAAAACTAAACTGGTCTAGGCTAAGCCTGGTTTCTCTATCCTACTGCCAGATACTGGTTTCTTCCACTTACCTGAAGGTGTGTTAATTCTGACCATGAAGCACAGGCTGATTC